TTCTTAAAATTGTTATTCTACCCTTTTTGTGTTTGTCTCATATATGAAAACATCAAATAAAAGCATAGTTCTTGGCATTTAAAAAAAGCTTTATCCAACTTGGGCTCCTGGTACAAGTCTATCCCCGTGGATAATCACATTCTGGATTTAAGAATTTAGCAGTGTGCTCTCTCCTTTGTTACAAGGCTGCTATTAATGAACCAGTGTGATGTCCGTAGCTCTCATTAAAGATCAAGGCAAAACAAATCCAACTCTGAAATTACATTGTTATTAGTTTCTTTAAAGTCCAGGAGTCGCTTAAATTTGTCTCAGTGTGCTCTGTCATCGTGCACCATATATAAATACATCTTTTTCCTGATGACTGTAGCTTCCACTCAGTTGGAACTATATTGAAAAGATCTGTTTTTTCAAAAGTTGCTAGTGCTAACAATTTCACTTCCCAGCTGTTGTAAGCTGGTTTGGTTTTGATGTGTTTTCTTCCAGAATTTGGGAATTTAAATGTAAATACAAATGAATTATTTTGTGGTGTGTTTTAAAGCTTAGGAAGGGCAGAAATGTGCCTGTGTACAGAAGAGCTTAATGATACTTTTGTATTTTCATTTTCAAGAGGCATTTGTCCCCTGAAGAGTTCCAGGAAGTCTTCAAAATGAGCATTGAGGAATTTGATCGTCTGGCACTTTGGAAGCGGAATGACCTGAAGAAAAAGGCCCTGCTTTTCTAGTCCCTCATGGATAAATATGTGCTTAATCAAAAAAAAAAAAAAAAAAAAAAAAAAAAAGTCTTGCCAGAACTATCACATGCACTTGCTGTTCAACCATTGTCCAGCTTCATTGTGTTAGTATGTGTCAGGGGAAACAGGACAGATTAGATGGCAATGCGTTGGAATACAGACAATTTGCTAAACTTGCATGACCAGCTGGTTTTGTCAGTAACTTCTGGTCCTATCCAGTTTACAACATGCAAAAATCTAGCTTTAAATTTATTGTTGCTTGCAGTTATTGCTTGATGCAAATCAAAATTCTGAAAGGAAGAGAAAAAGTGTGGCTGTGACAAAGGAAATACATCCAACATTTTGTTTCATTAAGTTTTACGATACAATTTTTATGAAATCAAGTAAGTAATTAATATAAAATTCACCAATGGGGGATCACATGCTATTGAAAATGTGGTAAAAGCCAAAGAAAAGCATGTCCACAAGCAATTATTGCAGCTTTTGTTTATGTGTGGTACTTTTTAAGAATGAAAGCAAAAATATGGAAGCACCTTAATTCTACTTCTTATACTTTAGACACAGCCTACTCTCTAAAAGGCCGTATTTGTCTAAATGGTAACTAGCTATCTTTAATTACAGCACAAGAGTTTTTATTTTATTAAAAATATATTGTGACATAAAACACTTATAATAACAAAATGTATACAGAAACCTACTTAAAAATGTAGTCCCATTCATCAGGAAAACTGAAGCCTTATTACAAAACTGGCATAAGAATTTATTATGCTAGTAAACTGTGTTTTCCTACTATTTTAGGATGTTTGGGGGACTTTTTTTTTTACATTTCATGCTGATAAAAATGCCATGTAATCTTAATTATATGTAGATAGATATCTATCTATAAGAGATTTTTTTTTTCATTAATATATGTTCTAAGTAAAGACATTTTTACTTGCTCCACTATCTGGCTTATCATGATAAGCCATGAGAACTGTAATAGCAGTTGGTAGGTGTGGAAATGGAACAGTTCAGCATAAAATGTAACAAAAAAAAAAGCTTGGTGTGCTCTATCAATAGTCTATCAAATTATAATCAAATATATGAAACCCTCATGCATTACTATTTGCATGTTTCTGTACAAGTCAATTAACAAAAAAAAATTATGTGATACCGGTGCAGTACCTTGAAACTATCTTAATTAACAAAGCTAACAAAATCAAGCATTTGATATGAGCGTTAGATCTTATTATCTCTTCCAGCTGAAAGACTGTATTAAATTTAATAATTTCATATGGTCACAAGTATGGTTGCTGACAAAGAATGTTTTAAAGTGAGTTGCTAGTTTTGTGTGATACTAAAAGAGCATTACAAAAGTACATTTTTCAGCCATGTGTCAGTATTCTGCATTTTTACTGCCTTGAATGTTTGTACTCACTTCCTATTTCACTATGTCTTTTTGCCATTTCCTTGAAGTAACTGGTTAATATATGCACTACTACACACTGTTTCAACTGCCCCAGCATCAGAAAAATCATAGCATTGAACATGCCTTCTTCCAATAACTTCAAAATCCATGCTGTTGGAAATAAATATTTTCTCATGACCTAAATGTTTTGTCTGATGATACAAATGTTTAAAAAAATCATTAAAACAAAGACATAACTGGATGACTATACTAATATGTGTGTATAATTTTTTGATTGTATTGCTGTTCTGGATAGGTTCTTCCAATAATATTTATGTTACTAATATGTAATTTCTGTTAGATTTGTTCAACGAGGAGAAAAGATATCTTTTATTGTGAAGTATACCTCTGAATATCAATTTACTGCAAAGTTTGTCATGATTTAAATGATCCATCTAGCAATGGGCATACCTCACCAGGCAAGAGCTGCTTTACTGGGGTGTTCAGTGTATACAGCCATAAGCTAGTCTTAATTGAGAGCTCCTGAACTCAACTAGGGATGCAGGCAGCATCCTTAATGCTTTTCAACCTCAGAATAGCTTGTTACGTGTTGCATATTTGTGAGACCTTGCTGCACACTGAAATTGACCAATGCAGAATGTGACCAGCAATCCGTGATACAGATCAGGTTTAACATGGATCTTTGTAAATAACATGAAAATTGCTTAACCACGGCAGTTACTGTACCAGTGCAAGGAAAATGTGCATAGCTAATCAACACGTGATCAAGAGCTCCACATTGCTGTATTGAGTTACACAGATCTATGGCAGATGACATGTGAGGACAATCAAAGCATGTGAGCTCTGTTTGGCCCATTTATGCTGTTTGGAGCCAGTTAGTCTGTCACAATGCCAACAACTTAAAAGTGTCCTCTGGAGGTCCTCATCCTTATTTTTATCCATGCTAAAACAGATGCAATTCTTATTTTGCATACCCCCATGTCAATGTTTTAGCTCATGAGCACCAGTTGTTATGATGATGCACAACTGTACCTAGGAATGGTACCCCATCATCCACCCATGTTTGCTTACAAGTCAGTGGGCATCGTTCTGGGTTCCCTTTTATGGTCAGTCAAGAGAAAAAAACACTTTGATCACATCCTAGTGTTACAAGCCAGTTATATGAATTGCACCTACCATATTTCTGTCCACTGCATATAAAGAAAGCCAATCCAGATGGAGACATATGCGTTGCATACTACCTGACAAAATGAATTTTTGTGCAAGTGAAAACATTAAGACAGCAATCTCAATGTGGTGAAATATCAGTGTCTCAACCATTGGCAGTTCCTAACCCATGTTACCAAATCACTTTCAAGCCATCAGGATGGTACTTTGAATTGCACAGATCTCATAAAAGGCCTTGATAGAATAATTCTTTGTGTTCATTATATACTCACCAAACATTCAGTGCCAAACACACAAAAATGTCTCAGAAGACAGCCAGTTTATCAACTCAAGTCCCTACTGCCAGCCAAACCAAAAAGGAATTTTGGCTTCCATACACAAAACCTTTGCTGACATTAGATGAACAAGTTGTGTATCCTTCTTATTTCATTTTCCCCAAAGTTTGAAATGATCTGTAGATGTCCGTTCTATGAGAAGATGGCATAGCTCAATAAGCTGTTCTGTTTTTCAGGTGTTACATGGCAGTGTATCACTCTATATTTAAAGCATCTACTGTCACATGGTTTATAAACCTAGCTAGTTGTTCTTTCTAGCACATCATTCTCATTTACAGCATGCTACTGAATGGTGGATTTGGAACCAGACAGATATACCTGTGGAAAAGGGCCATAAAGTGTTTTAATTCACTTTACTGCTACTTCTTCTGTACATCACTTAAACTCCATAAACCAGAACATGGCATACCAGAGAATACGTTTGTGTTTTTAAAATTTATCATATTTTCCCCATTTAAGAATTGTGAATTTAAATTTTAGTCGTATATTCTACATTCAATAACTTGGAGTGTCTTGTTACGCATGAATAGATTAACATGTGCATAATCGATGTTCTGGTTTCTTTCTAGAACTCCATATGCTAATCTTAAATAGCATTATGAAATGGAAAATGCATTTCAGAATAATTAGATAAATCTTTGCCAGAATTTTCCATCTAATAACATGGTCCAACATTGGCAGCAAGAAAATCAGTGTCTCAGCAAATCATTGGCTATTCTTTAGGATTATGCCCTTTACCATTAGGTATTGTTCCATTGCCTTGTTTTCAAAGAAATGCTATCTTTCAGCATTGTGGTAAGTATGGGTACAGCTGTGCAGTTCAAAAGGATCACTTTAATTCTTGAAGAAACCTCTCTTGATATGTATTCAAGAAGTAAGGGAATTCTGTCAGAGATTTCATTTTCATACCTGGATCTGATTTGTATGTCTCAGCTGTTCATGACAACCCTGATGTATGACCTAATTCTCACCTCATGTATTTTAAAGGCATGTCTCAAACACAGCAATGAAAGAGCCAACTTATTTCATCATCATACTCCTTGAGACAAAGGAACACATGGATTTTGTGGTTGACTTACTAATGCTGAAGCATATCTGACCAACAATTCCAGATAGGAAACCAGGCATGCCAGATTACTATTAAAGCTGTCTGAGAAGGCTGGACATTTTTGTCTGACCTTCTATTTCTTTTCCTTGTGGTTCAGTGGAGAACTCTGAAAGCTGGAATTGCAGAAACAGGGAAATACATAATTATAAGAAGCTACCTAGAATCTAATAATCCCCTAAGACAAGGCTAGTTTTACATGAGCAAAAAAGATGCAGCTCACAGCAAGAGAGGCACCTTGTATTACATTCCTCATTTTGACGAGGAGCCACCTATACAAATTCTCTCAAGTGTGATGAAGACAGACCATTAATTTTATTAGCCTTTTCACAGCTCTGCTATTTGCAGTGATGAGATCCCAGGCACTGCCATATGTGTGGTACATGGGCTCCAGAGCATCATTTTCTTGTCTCTTTGACTTGTGAGGAAGAGGGTCATATTCTTCAAAGTTTCCTAATATCTAGATTGACGTGACCAATTATTTGATAGCACGCAGGCATGGCTACTATTTTACAGATATCTTGAGTATCTGAAAAAAAAAAAAAAAAAAAACTTTTTAGTATCCTAATAACAGACTGAAAACCTCCTGTACATGTTAAATAATACTGGAGGTTTGCATTTTTTTCATATCCAGACTACCTCTGACATATGACCTAATCATCACAGGCTCACTGTGCAAGTGCTGGAGGTGCTTGGAGGTGCTTGCTCAGGCTTTTTGAGTCTTTGCATCTCTTCTCACTCTTTCTATTCTGAGAAAGCCATGTTGGAAAAGGTGATATTCATGAAGAACATGTGCCTTTGATACAGTAGGACTCAATAGTTTACTTCTCTGATGATAAAGCTGCAAGTACACGCAGCAAGTTGAAGTTTGCTTGATGGATTACTGCAGCTGGTTATGTTTTTCTCCTCACATCCAGCATCTATCTGATTAAAGCTAAGAGAAGTAAATAGTTTCACCTGTTTTTCTAAGTGTTCTTCAATCATTCGGTATGTTTTTGTCTTACTCCTCAGTGCTGGATGTCTTGACATCTATGTATCCAGGCATTTGTAGTAGGAAGATTCCATTTTTTAAATAATCAAACAAATGTCTGCAGCATTCAAAAAGTTTTGACCAGCCAATAGTTCTGTGCCAGACACCAGCTGCTCCAGAATGATCTAGGTAAGAAACCAAAATCAGGCAAAAGACAGTTGTCCTGGGTATCATCTAAATGTACAGTGATTCACAGATTTAAGGATGAGTTTTTCCTGTATCAGCTATTGTATATTCACCATTTGTTTGAATAAATCTGGATATCCTTGATTTCCTCTCCTGAATTCATGTTAAAACTGTGTCCTGAATGATTTGCTGTTGGTCTGTTTTCTCCACTTTCTCTGATGAGCATTGTATCCTCTTAACTCATGTTTCCAGTAAAAGTTGCAATCTTTTCAATCTTTTTTTTGAAGTGAAAACCTTTTTGTGCCCTTGATAATTCTCCTCATCCCATTGTACCTTGTGTTCAGGAGGTGGCCTAACCCAGAATAAAGGCATTACAGTATTTGCCTTACATTCTCTGTATTATGTCAAACATTCTAATACATTCTAACTTTTTTTTTTTTTTTTTTTTTTTTTTTTTTTTGGACAGGGAAAAAAGAATGGTAAGAATGACTTTGACTTTTTTACTATAAATTTGCATTTTGTTGAAACTCTGATGTTGCAAGCTTCTTTGCAGAAATGGACGTGCTTCTGAATTCTGAGTGTTTTTAATTTTTTCCACTGCAATCCTTACATTCCCTTATAATAATTAAATAGATAACATGATAGATGCTAAGTCAATCCAGGTTTCTAGTGGATTTTCTGAATTTCTTTATAGTTATCTGGCCTGGAATAATGTAGGTGGGGAACCAGGTTAATACTATTCTTGTCAATTGGTGGTTTTGCTACTCAGGGTTTAAAGAATCTCTCTCAAGTTAAGGATACAGATGCTTTGGACACCCCACTTTTTCTAGTATTATACTAGACATTTTTCATCTCCCAGCTAGTATTTAATAGATGGCAGTGTCTACAGAACTATATGAGTCACTGAATAAAATATAAACAACATCAAATTGTTTAGATTGCATTTTTTTTAAAATTCTTTCTTCAGTGTAATAACTGGTTATTTGTTTAGTGCAATAAAAATAACAGTAATCAAAGGCTACTGAATGACTTTATTATTTTTTTCCTAAATGACACATTAGAATATAAATGCACAGTAGAAGCAGAAGCTGAAAGTATTATTTATTTATTTATTTATTTATTGAGTAGGGGCTAAAATGAAAGGGTTCCACAGAACATACTGGTGTAATTAGTAGGACTGCTGTTATAGGTTGTTACAAGGAGCTGAATTTCCAGTCAGATGTCTCCTTTCAGGGCTTGTAAATGTTTTTGAAAATCTCCTATACAAATATAAATATCGGATTGTGTGCTTTCACATTTACTTTACATTTGTACCTCTGAAATGGGTTCTTGTATAAATTAGCATATTTCAGGTCTTCTGTGCTCATCAGATAAATAAAATCAGTGTTTCTATACAAATAATCATAAGTTTGGCAATACTTTGAAATTAGATGTATGTATGAAAAAAATCTTGCCTTCCGTCTTGCTTACTAAAAAATTAATGGCAAAACATCTCTGTAGGAAATTCCATTAAGAAATGAGGAGGCCTACTATTTGTAAAGCAAACCTTACAAGGATGCCAACTCTGCATCATCAGACTTTGATTTCCAAACACTGTACAGAAATCAAGCATTTGAGTAGCATGTGTACAACATAAGGTCTTTTTTCTTTCAAAAATCCTTCTAATTCATTAACTTAAATGGAAAAATCAAATTCTTTTTAGAGCAGAAAAACTATAAATAGCATGGCTTTGTTACTTCTGAAAGGATCTATGCTTGCTTGAAGGAATAAAAAAACTACTTCTTCGGGGAAAAAAAAAAAAAAAAAAAGGAGAGAGACTGATTATATCACAGACAGTCACCTCAAGAGTAAATAAGATATAAATAAGGAGTAACTTGAAGTTGCTTTTTCATTGCTTACGTAAGTGAGCTTCATGAGGAAAGAGTGTGAAGAACCAGTGTTGTAAAACAACACTGTAGATTTAGCTGAATAGTGGAGATTTTCAGCAGATTGCCCAGGCATTATTTTGACAGATTGTAAGTTTAAGAACTGGCTGTTCCCTGATCATGATGATAAAGGAGAAGAGGGGTATAGAGTTTCATGTGTTGTTGAACAATACAGGGTAAAGAAGAGAGGCAGGGAAGGACTGAGATTCCATTTTTGGCACTGTCATGCCTCTGTTTGAAGAAACTGGAGACAAGGAGGCAAGTTTTACAGGAAAACTTATCCTGCTATGTTTGACCTTAAATGTAAAAATAAAAATAACGAGCCCAGCCTTAAAAATAAATAAATAAATTACATTCATACTACACAAAGGTGGAGCTGCTTTTCAGTGATTCTAGGAGTTTAATATGCAAAGAATAAAAGGTTCTTAGCATAGCATTTTAAAAATGTCAGTTGTTAAATGCTAAGCCCACTGGAATCAGTGGAAGTATTACTTGCTGAGCACCGCAAAGGTCAGGTTGTATAGAACATCTGAAAATGGAATCAGAAGAGGGGATTGTTTGTTTGTGCTTAACTCAACCAGAAGGATGTAAATGGGAAGTAACCCCTTCAAGCTACGAATTCAGACTCTGGAAAGTATACAGCACTTTTGTGATTCCTTCACTCACCCTGATTCAAAGTCAATCAACGGTGGAATGAAAACAATAGTTTATTTTACATTTGTGAAGAGAGTATAATTGCAAATACTTTTGTTACACAGAAGCTCTCCTTGTGTAAAGAGTCAGGAGAGGCACGTGTGTTATATAAAAGCTGCATAATCTTTCTTCTTGAAGTTTCTGTGATGCACACGTTTTAAAATTTGCTTTCTGCAGAAAGGTGAGTGGCATTTCTGTAACAGGGAATTTAACCTATATAAGAAATCCTTTTGGGGCATATATATACTCAGTGCTAACTGAGAGTCCTCAAGCGAATTTTGAATACATATGTAAAATTGATTTTTTCCCCAGCAAACCTGAAAAGTGGGATTTTGGGGATTCAAAAAACAAACAAACAAACAAAAAAAAACTTGTTGAAGAGCTACTTCAGAAAGATACACTTAAAAAATTCATAAAGATGCCGAGTGTTTTGGTATTAACAATAATAGAGTTGGTAGTAACAGGACCACAGTACATGATAAAAGAAACAAACAAACAAATCCTTTATCAATAGCTTTCTGCTGTGCTTACTCTGTGAATTGAAATGCTGTGCATTTCTTCTAGTTTGTAAATGTCTCAAGCCTCTGAGACAGCCGAAAGGATTTTTTTTTTCTTACAGAAAAATCACAGTTTGAAGGAGACAGAAGATGATTTTTTTTTTTTTCTAAAAAGCTGTAACATGTTTTCTTGTTTTTGAAATCCTGCCATCATTATATTTTACTGAAGACACTGGGAATTACTGTAATGTCACTCCATCTCTTGACAGCCCAGATTGCACAGTATTTTTGCCTGCTTCTCAGGCAAAATGCCCTGAGACCATTCATTCGCATCCCTGCCAGTAGGATGGGAAGACAGAAGGTCAGACACTGCTGGAGGCAGTGGCATCAAGGCTGCCACCATGAAGCCCTTCTCCCATGTCCCAAATGCCAGTGTCCATGATGTGGGGCAGTGTCTGGCCACTACGTTAAGTGCCATTTTGCCAGTTGCAGGGGGGGGTGAGGGTGGGGTGGGGGAGGCTATGTTGACAGCCTTTCTGGTACGAAAATGACAAGAACGTACAGATTGCTTCTTACAGCTATGATTTTACTAAGTTACTGACAAAGCCATATTCTTGCTTAGGCATCTAGAAAGGTCTTACTGAAAAGTATTGCACAGACTTTTGGGGGATGCATCGCTTATATCATTCAATAGCTTTTCTAAAGTTTTCTTTTTTTTTTCTTTCTTTTTTTTTTTTCCACAAGGATGTTGCTGAGGTTTTGGGGCCTCTGATTCTAGCAAGTTGTCTGTTCATGGACTTGGTCCAAGAGTCCAGACTTGAAGTGTAACTGAGTGTATTTTTAAAAACTGACCCATGCTTTTAAATGCTTAAAGTACTGTTTTCCTGCCTTTTTACATTACTTAAGTGAGCCAAATCCAAATTGCTTGGAGTTTCGTACAAGACATAAATCTCAACAAATGGTTGGGGATTTTTTTTTCTCATGCCTGTGTTTCTCAGATTTCATCCAATGTTGATTTTCCAAGGGAAAAAATCTTCAAACATGCATAATAACTCTCCTAAAGATAATAAATATGGCCTGTCATTGTCATAACTTTCTTCCTTCAACACACTGGGGATTATCTGGTAGTTAAAGACCAATCTTGTAAACAACTATACTGAGATCTTACTGCTAGGAGTACTCTTTTTTTTTTCTTTCTTTCTTTCTTTTTATTGCTATGATTTCTTTTTATTGATTTTATTTATTTATTTATTTCTGTGATAACCAGTACTAAGAATGGTAAGAAGTTTACAGGAAGATAAGGGTATCAAGGCTTCACCAAATACTGCCTAAAGCTTCCAAAGATTATTCCTATGTTAATGAAGTTACCCTTGATAAACTAGCAATTTATTGTGAATTATTGAGAACAAAGATGGTATTTGGAACATGGCATGGATGTTTGTTATTACCAGTAACTTGTCATTCTCATAACTTAAAACTAGAAGGCACTTTTCAAACATGGAGGACATATGTTTCAAATGGGAGGATTTGTACCAATTTACCTTGTAGAGCTGTGTGTTAGAAGATGATTAGTTTAAGAAGTTTATTGGGTGCAAGGTATGACGTACAGTT